GTCAAGTGGTCTGCTTGAAGCGATTGGTAGTTGATGTGAGCGGACTTACTCTTCGTTTGGACTGTCGCTGCCAGCGCCGAGTGTCGCAGTCGAAGCCCAATGCTTGTATCCCAGGTTTGGTTCCAGACAATCTTTGCCTCTGCATCGGCCGCGAGCATACGGATTGCACTGATGCCTTTAGACGCAGTGAAGACTGTTTTGCAGGCACGCTGTCTGGTTGGAGTGTAACGCCCGCTGTAGGAAACTTTGTTGTGGCCGTCCGGTTATAGCTACTGCAATGTTGCCCACGATCAATGTGGAGTCCGAGTTTGGCCATGGTCGCGGTTAGCATCGATTTGTCTGCATTCTCTACTTGGTTGAAGTTTACTGTCACTTTATAGCTTTACTACTTTTATGGTTAGCGTATGTTAGCGTTGTTGATATTAGGGGTATTAAAGGTTATGATATTGGCAGTGTAGTAAAGAGCAGCCCAGTCTATTTCTGAGAAATCAAGCTCTGGCAGGCTAGCTGCCCTAAACACATCATTTGAGACCTTTATCGCACCTGTGCCATTTCGGCCATGGAGCCATGCTGCATCTTCAAAAGGGCCCAAGCCACATCTATACAGTATTATACCACGGTTTTCAAGGCCCAACTTGGCCAAATGATAATCGACTCTACGTATTGGTACTCAGACCTTCTGGGCTTTGGATTCCATCGCAGACCTCACTGGACCAAAAGCCAGAAGGCCTCCATCGCTTAACTTTGCGCCCTGATGCTCCATCCCCTGGTCTAAGACTCGTCGGTGGACTGGTACTGCTATCGGAAAAGGGGCTCAAGAAAAAAGAAGCCGTACACCTTCAAGCCCCCGTTGCCCTGCGAGGTGGATGGGAAACAAGGCCTTTCTTCTCTGCTCCGTCGTTTCAACACAGGACTTGGTGGGTTTCGGATGCTAGGACCAGCTGGGTCGGACATAGAGGTCTCTGTGTGGGCCGCATGTAAATGCGCGCATGCGGCGCGCGTGTGTTCAGCTAGTCGCTGCATGGAACATGGCATGGATGAGTGGAGAGAATTCATACGTCGGAGCAGCATCGTCTCGGTGATGGGTTCCGCGTCGACGGCATTCAACTGTCTTGACACTGATGCATCAGGCAGCGCGACATGTGCCATGTTAACCCCAAATCCTTAGCCGTAGCCCTAACCTGCCTGTCTGGTCCGGGACAGACCAGCGCTCCACGAGTCTGTATGGATGTGTAGTCGTGTGTATACAGGGCCCTGAAGGACCAAATGACCCTTAAAAGTAGGGGCCCTATGTCCATATACCATGAATCCCTATAATGGTAAATGAACCTTAAATCCCCTTTTAGGGTTCATTTCGTCCGTAAGAGCTGACCCTGGGGTCGGCAGTGTGTGCACGGTGTGATGCAGAAATCGAAGGCGTGGAACGGGTGCCTTGTACAGAATCGCTGTGGTTTAGACCGGAAGCTGAGGGCCCATGCCGCATGTGAGACGCAATCTGCCTTCATGGCGGGCTTAGTAGTCTGTGAGTGTTTTGCCTAGTCATTGCTAATGTAAGGGTGTCGCTAGTGCGCGATGCTCTGAAGCCAATTGTGCTGTTCGCCGCATACCAGGAACCTTGCCCAGACATGTCCGAGAGTGAGTGCTGAAACCCGAGACTGACTACATGTGGGTGGTTGTCAAAATTATGGTCCCTTTTTTGGGTACCCTGAATATTAGGTGCCGTATTATAATCAGGACCCAAAAAGGGACCCTAATTTTGACAACCACCCATGTAGTTCTAAAAAGTTGCTCTGCCCACCTCGAGGAGGATCATCCGTTCTCTTTCGGGGCGCCATGGCCTCCTCTGCAGCCACCTTCGTGAGCCACTACCCCTGGTTCACGGTGCTTTGTCGGACTCGGTTTTGGTTTTCCAGAGAGAGGGTTTAGGGTTTACGGTTTAGGGTCGTGTTGATGGAGTTCGGTCCTGCTTCGCTGAAAAATCTGGGACCCTCACATCCTTGGAAAGTCTTTACTCCGTTACCACCTCTCCGGAATACTATTCGGTGGCCAGACCTCGAAACCTTGTCAATGTTGGGTAACTTTTAAAATCTCTATGAGTACTTAAACCCAAATAGGGAATGGACATGTAGCTTTTGAATCCTATCCCAACCATGAACTAGGAAAGGGTTTGAAGTCCAGGAATGGTTGTTGGTCATTGCGGCTAGGGAACCCGGATTTCTGCAATCACCCGAGGCTGCACGGTGAAGCTTTATGACTTTATGGCTGGGATTCGGTCTACATGTTTTGCTGAGCTGCTAGCACTTTCGAGATGATGCCACCTTGTAGTGACTGAGTTGTTGCATTACGATGCTGTAATGCAAAGGCCAGCACGATCCCTCTGCAAGGGTCGTGGCAGTGCTGGCTGTGGGCACGGAAGGTTCAGTCAAGTTGTGGCATAAGTTTCGAGGTATTTGCGGGAGCGGCTGTGTTGAACGCGGAAGCGCCGTGTGCTTTCTGCGTTCTCACAAATTCTAGTAACTCTAGTACGTTCTGGTGATTCTGATTCTAGTGGAGTTCTTCAGCAGTGACATGTGGGGCTTCTCAAAACCACCCAATAACTCAACGAACATTTTTACGTGCACCTCTGTCATGTCAAGGTGTTCAACCAACTCAATGATTTTCTGCCACACTACGACACGCGGTCGCAGCAGCTGCTGCGCAACGCAAGCATTGGCTTTTCGGCCTCTGAGACTCGTCTGAAAGTATGATGTAGGATTCAGCACCCGCATAGCACAGGCTTCAGGTGCATGTATGCGGCTTGCGATCATTTAGGGAGGATGCAGCAGCGACGAGACACCTTGCAGACCAGATTGTTCGAGTGGCTTTTCCCCTGCTTGCCCCAAGCCTTGGTTTTCCCAGTCCGCAAATGCGGCATAATTAAGATGAAGACGCTTGGTCATGGGTTTTCGGACAGGAGTACATAAGCCTTTGCTCTGGCAAAATGCACTTCTTAAGACATCGTAATTCCAGAACCTACGAGCAGTAGCCCTGCATTTTGCCCACAACCTGCAGCAAAACCCACGGCAGAGGTGGTCTCTGACACCGTGTCGAACTCGCTGCGAGCAGCTCATCTAAGCAGGATGTGGGTTGAGCTTCCGCTGGTGGTCGCAAACCTCGGACTCCGCAAGCTAGCTCTATTCTTATTAAGGCCCCTACATAAAAGCTTCATAGCAGCCTTTGTAGAAGTTTACAGTTACCCGTACAGAATGCAAACGGGCCCCTAGTTTATGCAGAGCCATATCTTCTCAAACTCGGGAAGGGAGGTGTTGAGTTCCAAACTGGAGAGTTCGGTCCAAGGGTAAAAGGAGGGACCCATTAATGAGGACCCCTAGGTATATACAGCTATTATATACCCATTATATAGCCCATTGAAGGGCAGGGGTCCCCATTAAGGGTCCCTCCTTTTCCGCTTTTATTCGGGGACTGAAAAGATCAACGAGTTGAGGGCAGTGGGTCTGAAGGTAAGAGCCACTTTTGGGGTTCGTGGCCTCGCGGCTACAAGTGCGACTGCCTATTTGTACTCCTAGACTAGGAAGAGGCACCTGGACCACAATGCGGCGCTAGAATGTGGACCGAACTGCTTTCGAGGGGTTGTTCTGCTGTGCATGTATGAATAGGGAACCTATAAGAGCCCGACAAGGCATACAACTACCAAATCTTAAGGCCTGAACCCGTTAAGGCTCGCAGGAGTAGGAGGCTGAAGCCAGCAGCAACAAACACGAAAGTTTCCGGCTCTGCATCGTAGCGCTTCGGCCTTTGGGTTCTACAGTAATTGTATTTTTTACGTTGAGGGTCTCCGAGTCTAGGAAGTTTCCTGCAGCAAAACGGGAGTTTCAGGTCTTCCGGGCTTCTGAGAAATGGTCGAATCCCTATCATAAGGTCCCCAGAATAAGGTGCCCCGAATTTTCGGAAACTCCTTTCGGTTTTTCAGAGGCCGCATTCAATGAGAAGCACGGAAAGCCGTGGTGTTCAGCTCAAATCCCCAAGCTCTAGCACCCCGTCTGTCGAATCATATGGGATTTTCCGAGAAAATTCGGGTACCTTATTTTGGGGTCCTCATAAGAAAGATCCTACTATTTACGGTGCTGTATTTGGGTCCCCTATTTTCGGAAACGCCCATATTCTGAGGTCCTCAAGACGCATCGCCAGACCCGCGAACATGACACGTATTTCGGACTTGCGCAGTGCCTTCACTGCAGATGGCCGGGGTGGGGGGGGGGGGGCCCAGAGACTCCAATATCCCTTAATTAAGGAATATACCTTAAATCATATAAGGGATCCCACCATAATTTAAGGAATATTCCTTAATTAAGGTATATTGGAGTCTCTGGGGGGGGTGGCGGAGTGTGGCATACGAGTTCGGGATTGCAAGCAACATCTACAGGTCCCCTGCCAGACACGGTGGTGCCTATAGTCTCCATTATGGTTCTTTTTTGGATTTTGTAAACCAATTGTATATACTTAGGATCCTACAAGGCAACCCCAAAAGGAACTACAATAGAGACTATAGGTTCCCTAAACAGGAACTACACTAGAGACTAGAAGGAAACCCCAGAAAGGAATTACAATAGAGACTATAGGTTTGTCATGGAAGTTAAGATTTTGCCGTAGCGGCTCAAGGGTTCGAGGGCTCACTGTTGGTTTCAGGAGCTGTGGCCACACCTGGACCCTAAGGAACCTACTTTTTTAGGGTTCCCTAATATGATTTCCTTGTATAATTCCTTAAAAAGGTAGGTTCTTCAGGGTTAAGACAAGCTATACAAATCATTCCGAGCGGTGAACCAGCGTAGTGAAGACCAGAAGCGACATTGGATTACTAGAGTTCCTAGACTACTAGTGCTGGTCCTGCCTCGACATCTTCGCCTCGTCTTTCGATGGAGAAGATAAGCCTTGGAGCCTTGAACGCTCCAGCTCGACCCGATGCCCTAATTTCCGGAGATGGAGAAGATGAGTCTTGGAGCATGCTCGCCAATCTTAAGTCGCCTACGCACCCAGACCTGGACCTCGAAGACGATGGCGTGCCGGATGGGACTTTTCCGACATTCTCAGAAAAACTGAGTTCGCTGCCGGACCGCGCAGTGGCCACTGCACCCTCAAGTTCTACTGCCTTGGACGATGATACGGCTTCTAGTCTGTCCGTCACGACAGAAGAATCCGAGGCCCACGGCGACATCGACCCATGGTTTGCCGAGGACATGGAAGAGTTCGGGGGTGGTGGTCTTCCTGAGGAGCCAATGATGCGAAAGCTCAGTTCAACCAACTCATTCCGCAAGCACGCCGTCCGTGCCCGCCGTGAGCGAATTCGTTTAAGGCGGCGTGAGGTGGTCGTCGACTTCTTGAAGAAGAACAACTTCGGTGGAGTCAATGCACCGCGCTCCCGCTCGGGCTTCAGGTTACTATCGGAATCTGTGTACCCGCTCCATGTTGCAGCACAGCAGGGAGATGCTTAGGGGTACCTAGAAATAATGTTCACTTTTTGGTGATTATTATCCCTAAGAAACAGCTAAAATTGTCATTTTTGCTAGGGTTCTAAGTTCAGTATAGGATGCTTACATGGTACAAGCGCTTCTTCGAGAAGGTGCGGATCCTGCAAAGAAGACCTCGACCGGCCGAACTCCCTTGAACGTGGCTTACGATTCGAACCAGTTTGGCTCTCACCGTATCTTAGAGGTACTTAGAAATAATGAATTGTTGGTCATTATAATCCCTAAGAAACCGCTAAAATTATATTTTTTGCTAGGGTTCTAAGTTCAGTATAGGTATGGTGCTCGAGATCCTCTCCGGACGGTGGAACACCATGAGCTTCCGCGATCTCAGGGCCATCTCTTGCCGCAGTGCTTAGGAATGTACAGACGAACATTCTGGGCGGATCTCCTGCACTATAAGGGGACCGTCCAGGAATGGCCATGCTGCTTCTCTGAGATTTCTAGTCTTTTTAATTAGTTCAAAACACACCGCAGGTTCGCCAAAGGGAACACCGGACGAACCCTGCGAGTGCTTCTTTCCGCGATTGGAAGCTCACGGCTGACCATGGCGGCACTGTAGCACAAAGACCGACTGATAAGGCCTGACGACAGCGTGTAGGTTCAGCCACAGGAGACACAACCGCAAGAAATGCACCATGACAGCATAGAGTACGTATCCCCGTTGGTCACGACTCGTGGTCTATCTGGGTGTCGGGCACGCTCTGCCTTTGCGGCCGGCACCCCGCCTTTTCAGTGTTTGAATCCCTTTCCCTGGGGCTCCAAGTATACAAACAGTACCTACTTTGGGGCCTAAAGTCTTAAAAAAAACCTTACTTTTGGGCTATTTGGAGCCACAGGGTTTGTGGGTTTGGGCCTTTGGTTTTCTCTGTCTGCAATGTTCGGCTCCTCCGGCCAAGTTTACTCTTGTGATAGCCGTTTTGCACGGGTTTAGGGTGTAGGGCTTCGTACCAGAAAGACGGGGTCGGATTCGTTGAGCCGTCAAAGATGGACGGAGCTCAGAATTCGCGAAAGCAAGAGTGTGAGTGCAGTTATGTCCACTGTAGCTGTGCAGCCGTGCCAGCACACACATACTGCATCGGGATCAGGTTCCTCTGGATACCGTGTCCAGCATGAACTTCTCTTCGATTTCTGCAGGATCCTACAGTAGCTCTTGTGGAGCTCGAAATACAGTTTACACATCCGTGTAGTGTTCGTCCACTGGGTCGCTTCCCAGGGACCTCCAGCAGTGCTTGCCGAATTGTGGAGACTGATGCCAAGCATTGTGGCGTTCCGATTGAGTTTCTCAAGGTTTTTCGACAAGACCTGCTCGCGTTTTTGCCAACATGGGCTAGCGCTCAGCCGCTCAAAGTCTGAACGCAGCTTAGACCCACCAGACCCCAGAGGTCACGCGAGTAACCGAGTGACAAAGATTTGCCGTTGAGATCCCTCTGCCACCCGTTCCGGCCGCAGAGCCATGTAGATCTGAGCTGTGTGGTAACCTCACGATACGGAGAGCTTCAAGGACAAACGGCGACCTGGCCCAAAACGAACCCCAACATGAAGAAACCCCTCCGTTTCTGCGAAAGCACCACTGACCTGAAATCAATCTTTCGATTCATCAAGTCGGACCTTGGGATTCCGCGGTCTTAATGATCGGAGTGTTTTTTTGGGAGTAATGTAATGTCGGCGCCTGAATACTTAGACTTTGGGAGGTTCCTAAATCTGGTTTTAGTCTAGTCTAATAAGCCCCCAAACCCCATTCTAATAATTATTACGGCCCCTGCATCAAGTTTCTGTGGTCGTCTTGTTTCGGATCCAGAAAGGGGTCCCCCAAGCGTCCAAGCTTATTCAACTTGGTCTTGAAAGTCCTGGTTGATCATAGTTCGGCGGATCATCTGACCTTTGGTTAGTAGGGAATGGAGAAACGGGGTACAATTATAACTACTATTGCTACCATTCTTCCATTCCCTACTAACCAAACCCTAAGGCTCCATGTACCCATCTAGTATACACTTAGGCCTTAGAGTAGCTATATAGGGACCCCTTTAAGGCTTAAGTATCTACTATAAAGGTACATGGAGCCTTTGGGAAAGGTAAGTCATACTGCAGGTTCGTGATAAATGCCGAGCTCCGCGAGGAAGCCTTGGATTTAGACGCGTAGACCTGCCTTTGCGGCCGGCACCCCGCCTTTTCAGTGTTTGAATCCCTTTCCCTGGGGCTCCAAGTATACAAACAGTACCTACTTTGGGGCCTAAAGTCTTAAAAAAAAGCTTACTTTTGGGCTATTTGGAGCCACAGGGTTTGTGGGTTTGGGCCTTTGGCTTTCTCTGTCTGCAATGTTCGGCTCCTCCGGCCAAGTTTACTCTTGTGATAGCCGTTTTGCACGGGTTTAGGGTGTAGGGCTTCGTACCAGAAAGACGGGGTCGGATTCGTTGAGCCGTCAAAGATGGACGGAGCTCAGAATTCGCGAAAGCAAGAGTGTGAGTGCAGTTATGTCCACTGTAGCTGTGCAGCCGTGCCAGCACACACATACTGCATCGGGATCAGGTTCCTCTGGATACCGTGTCCAGCATGAACTTCTCTTCGATTTCTGCAGGATCCTACAGTAGCTCTTGTGGAGCTCGAAATACAGTTTACACATCCGTGTAGTGTTCGTCCACTGGGTCGCTTCCCAGGGACCTCCAGCAGTGCTTGCCGAATTGTGGAGACTGATGCCAAGCATTGTGGCGTTCCGATTGAGTTTCTCAAGGTTTTTCGACAAGACCTGCTCGCGTTTTTGCCAACATGGGCTAGCGCTCAGCCGCTCAAAGTCTGAACGCAGCTTAGACCCACCAGACCCCAGAGGTCACGCGAGTAACCGAGTGACAAAGATTTGCCGTTGAGATCCCTCTGCCACCCGTTCCGGCCGCAGAGCCATGTAGATCTGAGCTGTGTGGTAACCTCACGATACGGAGAGCTTCAAGGACAAACGGCGACCTGGCCCAAAACGAACCCCAACATGAAGAAACCCCTCCGTTTCTGCGAAAGCACCACTGACCTGAAATCAATCTTTCGATTCATCAAGTCGGACCTTGGGATTCCGCGGTCTTAATGATCGGAGTGTTTTTTTGGGAGTAATGTAATGTCGGCGCCTGAATAATTAGACTTTGGGAGGTTCCTAAATCTGGTTTTAGTCTAGTATAATAAGCCCCCAAACCCCATTCTAATAATTATTACGGCCCCTGCATCAAGTTTCTGTGGTCGTCTTGTTTCGGATCCAGAAAGGGGTCCCCCAAGCGTCCAAGCTTATTCAACTTGGTCTTGAAAGTCCTGGTTGATCATAGTTCGGCGGATCATCTGACCTTTGGTTAGTAGGGAATGGAGAAACGGGGTACAATTATAACTACTATTGCTACCATTCTTCCATTCCCTACTAACCAAACCCTAAGGCTCCATGTACCCATCTAGTATACACTTAGGCCTTAGAGTAGCTATATAGGGACCCCTTTAAGGCTTAAGTATCTACTATAAAGGTACATGGAGCCTTTGGGAAAGGTAAGTCATACTGCAGGTTCGTGATAAATGCCGAGCTCCGCGAGGAAGCCTTGGATTTAGACGCGTAGACGTAGGACGCAACGGGCAAAGTCTCACAGACCCTGCTCCCAGAGATCCCAAGACCCCTTAATTATATACCTTAAATCATAATATTAAGGCCTCTATCATTTAAGGTATATTCTTTAATTAAGGGGTATTGGGTTCTCTGGGCTGAGCCTACCTCCTCAGGTCCGTGATCCGCAAGGACTTGTGGCTTTAGCGTGCTGGTGTGGGTTCTGTGATGGAAGGATGCCTTTGAGCTCTGTCTGTCGGCCGTGCATGTGCGCAGCACCAGTTCACCGAAGCCGGAATCCAAGGGTCGAGGCATAGCCTAGCAATAGCAATCTGACACGCGTGCTCGGGGTTGCTACTTTATGGCCAGTGAACACACTAGGCCTAAACTCAGTCCCAGAATCCTTAAACCCAAAGCCTTAATCCCAAAATCTCAAATCCCAAGCACCAAACCCCAAATCCCAATCCTATTATCCTCAACCAAAAACAAATTCTGAGCTTACAAACCTCAGCGCCAGGATGGCTTAAGCGGCCTATTGAGTCGGGGTTTGGCGACCCGCGCCCTGACTCAAAGAAGCGAGCATGAAGCCTCCATTGTAGTTCTCTTTCTTTGGTTGAACCAGTTATATGATTAGCTGTTAAGATTAGGGTCCCTTTTTGGGTACCCTAAAATATGAAGGACCCAAAACGGGATCCTAATTTTGACAACCACCCATATATTTTCAGTAACCCCCAGAATGTCGGAAGCCGGATTGAGGACAAATAGTGCCGGGATTTCCTGTATATAGTATATACATGTCTTTTGAGGATCGAGGTTATTGAGTTTCCAACTCTTGGGCTTCTACTGTGAAACCCCGCAAGGTAAACCGGAACAGGAACTGCGCTCGAGGGACTTTAGAGAAGCCGAGTATACAGTATATGATTATAGTATGATGGGCCCCAAAACCCTATTCTAATTCTTCAGGCCCCTATATTGGGGTCTGGGATGATTTGGGGGTTAGGGTTTTTGTCTCTTCAGGGTTTCAGGGCTCTACTTGGAGGATCATGCGACTTAGTAAGTAAGGTTATAAATATGGTAACTACACTTATAACTACTTGAACCCTAGTTGAGGTACCTATGACCTGACTTACTAAGTCCCATGATCCTCCGAGTAAGCTTCAGGGTTTCGGACCTCAGGCGGCTTGGTTTCAGAGCTGGTTTCAGGGTAACTGTTCATGCCTACTACACCCTAAACCGTAAACCCCTAAACCGTAAAATCTAGGGTTTAGGGGTTTAGGATTAAGGCTCTAAGAGCCAAGTGGCCTGTTCTTGCACCAGGCGAGCACGAGTTGGCTTGAGGGTTTTATGGTGGGGATTTCGGGAAGTGGGGTTTCAGGGTTGAGGTGCCTAGGCTTCAAGAGGCCTGGATGCAAAAAGGTGCCTAGAGCTTTGGCGATCACGTTCCCCACGTTCCCTTCTGGATCTTGTACGTAAGTTGGTGGAGGGGCGTCTTAGCAAATTTATGCCGCCCAGGCCGTCTCAAAGGTTTTAAACACTAACTGAGCCTGGAAGAGGTGAAACAGACAAGGCCTCAGCTCGTTCTGAGACTTTCGACACTTTATGGGCTTGTGCTCTACTTGGAGGTACCTGGGTAGTTATAAGTAGGGTTTTAAGTCCCCTAATATGGGTTATAAGTATAGTTACGACTACTTATAATCCTACTTATAACGACCCATGAACCCCCAAGTAGACCCTAAACCCTAATACCCTTATAGTATCCCTATAGATCCCTTTAAAGGGACCCTTAAAGGA